AACTGATTATCTTCACAACAGTTAGGGAGCTGAAGTCTGAGGCACCTCATCTGGTTCTTCCGAAATATCCAAGTCAGGGCTAGAAACCAGTCAAGGAGGAAAGTGTACATGTTTTCCACCTCACCTCTCTCCTCAACCCTGGCTCTAAGGATTTGGAAACCCTTCCAAGGCAGAACAGGTTGCGCTCACCTACCATTGCTCGTGGTTGCACTGACTGTTAGAGGGGCTTTGAAGTGCCTTGGTCAACAGGAAGCATTCTGGATGGGACCATGCTTATCGGAAGGGAGTGAGTCTCACTGCCCATCTCTGTTGGGAGGGCAGGAGCTATGCCAAGTAGGTTGCACCACTGGCAAGGCTGAGGGAGTCTCAGCAGTTAAGTGGGGGTCTGGGGCATGAAGTCTCAGGTAGCGTCACCTACCTGGGAGAAGAGGAGCAGTAAAGTTCAGCTTGCCGCGAATAACTGAGGAATAGGGTCACTATTTGACTGTAGGGTAGAAAAGGTCATGATACTTTAAAAGCAGAGTTAAATTGTGCTATGGGCACACTCCATATGGACTGAAGGAGGACAGAATGGGACTAAATATACTGGAAAGTGACAGCATCCTAGACAACCTCATCTCCATCACAGGCACTTATCCATCACTGAATTAGAGTCTGTATAACAGCAAGAAAGATGAATTTCCACCAGTCTAGCATCAGTCTTCACCTCTGCACAATGAGCTGGGGATGTCTTGTTCTGTTCACTCTGTGTTTGGAATATCTTTCTCCTGCTCATGGCAACACTGCAATGATACTGCGAAGTGGCTAGAGCTTTGAAACCAGACTTTCCCCCCTCACACCTTGCAGAGAATGTCCCTGAAGTTACCCTTAGTAGGTTTCACTAGAACACACATTCTGCCCTTGGGATGGTGGTGAGGTCAGAGAGGGAGGTGGTGCAGCATTCCTTCTGAATCTCAGTAAGAATGACTTAATAAATGACTTAATAAAACTGCCGTTTCAATATGATAGAATAAGAAGAGGCACATAGGTAGTAAGTAAATCTGATGTCTCTTCAGATGCTGGAATCTTTGCGTTCCTGCAGTATTAGACAGGACCTAGGTGGATTTTCCCTTGGCACATTGTACACCTGCTGCTAGTGGAGAAGTTCCTCCTTTTTGGTCATTCAGGATATTATACAACTCTACTCATAAAGGATGTTCACATGAGGCCTTTTGCTACACTTTAGATAAAGGCAGTGTGGTGTAATGTCTGGTACCAAGCAAGAGGTGCCTGTAGCCGCCTCTGTTACCATCAACCAGTTGAGTTCCTCCTGTGGCCAAGCAACTTGTGCAAGGACATAGCCTGAAGGCCATGCTGTACATACAGCCCAGCACTCAGGTTAACTGTTATGCAGATCCCTCAGGCTTGATGGACCTCTGAGCAACCTGATCTAGTAAAAAAAAGTCCCTGCACGCTGCAGGGAGGTTGGGGTAGGTGACCTTTAAAGGTTCCTTCCAGCCCAACACCTTCTATCATTATGATTCTGTGACATACAGTGAACTCCCAGTGAGGATCTCTACAATATGCTGTTAAACCGCAAGATAATTCAGTAACTGGAGAAGATCCAGATCTTGAGGAGTTAACTGAAGGGCTGCAAATCTAATCTCCTCTAAGCTCTTCCTGTGCTAACAAGGTTCTTGATCCTCTCGGGCATTTCCTAGTCTGACCTAGTACTCCCAGCTGCCTCATTCCTGTGTTTCTCTCCCTCCTTGCCTGCCCCACTTCAGCCCCTGCAGCAGTACTCAGCTGAGCATCCTCAGCTGCTCATGGGGAAGAAGGATCCTCCTTCTTCTCCCTGACACTCCCCCAGCACAGAGTACTTTATGCAGGACAAGGCAGTCAGACACAGATAGAGCCTGTTTAACACCATGTTTCTTACAGAGCCGCTCAGGAACAAGCAGGTAAGCTAGGTCTCCTGCCTCTCACAAACAGTATTTTACATGACTGACCTTCAGCACTGGACTCTCTCCAGTCTCTCATTTTCCCAGTTTTGTAGATGTTAGATAGTGCATTTAAAGGTTCGTCTCCACAAACACAAAGGAGTACAAAAGAGAGAGTACAATGGAAGGCAGAGGAACCTCAGTAACAAGGGAGAGCAACAGAGCACCCTGATGTGGCTTTTCCCGGGACTGTCACAAGGGAGGGATCGACAATGCTGTCTTGATATGAGACCCACCAGGTATATATTGACTCTCCCTTGCTTGCCTTGTAGACTGGAGGAGGAATGCACTTCTTTGACACTAGTCATAGACAGAAGTATAGCTTAAACCATGAATGTTAACAGGCAACATGTGGCTGGATGCATGTGTGTGGCAAGATCTGCCTGGGTGAATGTCTGAAACTGAATTCTGATCTGTCAAGCAGAAGAAGGCTGCTACTTGCTAACTGCATCCAGCATGGGCTGGGTGGAAATTTTGGTAACACTTAGAATAAGCAAAGTGACATGTCCTGAACCCTACAATTAGTAAAGAGATAGGAGACAGAACCAGAGAGCTGCATGGACATAAATGCCAGGGACCTTGACCAGCAACTTCTGAAAGTGGTAATGCAGAGCAGGAACCAGCGTGACTTCCCAGACCTTCCTTGACCTGCAGTAACCTCCCTGCTCGGCAGGGAAGTTGCAGTCTCTGAGTTGTAGCACTGTATGTGCTGAAACTCATCAGCTCACATATGTGAGCATGAGAGTGTGTGTGAGAGAGAAATAATCAAGTAAGGGCTAATTTCATTGGCTGTTAAATAAAACTCAGAAGTATTCTGATTTGCCTATGGTATTACTACAGGCTGGTCTGTCCTCTTATTAAACTCCATTGCTGTTTTCCTGAGTGAGGGCCAGCAACTGGAAAAGGACCCAGGGCCATAGGGGACCATGGACTTGAGGCACCAGCACCTGGGGAGATCACAGTGTGTGTATATTGTGAGGGTGTGTATGTCAGCATGGACAACTACTAGTAAGCATCAAGCTGTCCTAGTCAGCAAGTAGAATAAAGGACTTGGGACCCAGGGACTGGAGTGGATACAGGTTTGGCCTAGATACTGCAGAGACCAGAGGTTCTGAGAGTCAGCTACTGAAAGGACAAGGGGGCTCAAGCCATCTATGGGAGAGACCAGGGAATCTGGTAAGGCTGTGGGTCTGGAACAGCCACTGAAGACATCTGTTTGCATGTGTGTGGTTTTGTACTTGAGGTGGCTGGGAGATCATGGGACCCTGGGGCCAAATACTGGATAGACTAAGGTCAGCTACTGACAGGACCCACACGGTTTCTGTGTGCACATGTATTTTCCAGTGTGTTTTTCATCCTGATTAGCCCAACAGGAAGCAGAATCCCAGTTGTTTGTGCTGTTTGTATTTCTGCAACGGCTTTGTTTTCAACTGGTGTGTGGATCTATGTGACAGGGCATGTATATGTGTGAATGCATATATATGTGTGCAAGATGGAAAACACATGCTCAGTCTCACTACTTGACTGAACATGGGGACATGGAGTTGCAGAAGTGTTGTCTTGCTTCAAGTTATTTGATTTGGCAACTCTTAAGAGTAGGATTTATCCTATGTTAGTATCTCAGAAACAAAAAGCTCTGTATGCAGTTAGAGGCAGGGAAATTCTGAGAGGCAGCAATATGGAAATAAAGGCAGCATAAAGGAAAAAAAGTTTAACAGAAAAGAAACCCATACGAATGAAGGATCAGTAAGTACAATGCCATGTCCATTTCAAAATAAAGTGGTGTTTACATTCTGGAAGGATCCCCAGAGTTCAGGTATGGAACTCTGGGGATTTATACTTGAGATTAATTTTTGTATTACCTGTTGGCAATCAGTGTTCCTTCAGGCACATTACACAGAAAACTTTTGCTTTAAAAACAAATGAATGTAGGAAGCTGAACAGAGTGGAATAGCTCATTGTTTTGCCTGTTGTCTGAGAAAGTACACAGAACCTTTTGATAAGGTTTTCCTAATCAAAAACATGGAGCTGAACAAATCACATTTGTCCAGGTGCTACAGGGAAGAAAATACTTATGTATAAATGTTAGTAGCATTCTTTTAACAATAATTATGTGCTGTACATCCAAGTGTTGCTCTCCCTTTGTTCAGCAATCTGGTTAGATATAGAGTAACGAATCAAGCAACTGCAGGATTAAATATGAATGCATATCACTAAGGTGAAGAGAACACAGCAATGGATTAGAAATGCTAGTTGGTTTAATGGTAGAACTGGAATTTTTGTGTGAATTGTGCATTTATTTCAATATGGACTTAATTTAAAATAACTGATTTGAAGATGTTCTGACTTCACCTTATTTAACATTTGCAGTCTTCATCATGATAGAGACCTGTCATTTTCTCCAGCAGAGAAACCCCACACTCACTCCCAAAAAATCAACTCAGAAAAAGAAAGACATCAAGAGCAAGCTAGGTAATAAAGTTGTGCAAGACTGCTCAAAACTGCTCAAAGTTTGTCCAGAGATTAGAGCTTGCAATTCAGATCCACATCACTCACCGTGCTGAGCTATGTACCTTCCACTGGAGTCAAAGGGAAAAAGAAGGAGAAGGGAGCTGTGGTATAAAAAGTAACAGACACAATGTTCTTAGGAAAACTCTCGATTTTCTTTCCTTTTCCCTACTCCTTCCCTTCCAGGTCTCCATGGACACAGTTTTTGCTGCCTCACCTCCAGCACAGCATGCAGAGTGAAATGACGGTCACAGAATTAATCCTTCTGGGATTCTCCAGCAACCCAGTCCTGCGGCTTTCCCTCTTGGGCCTTTTTTCTGTCCTCTACTCTGCCACTCTGATGCACTTGTTTTCATGCTTGTCTGCCTGGACTACCGCCCCCACAGCCCCATGTACCTCCTCTGCCACCTCTTCATCGTGGACATCTGCTATGCCTCCAACAATGCCCCCCATATCCTGAGGAACTTCCTTGGACAAGGCAGAACCATCTCCTTTGCTGGATGTGGGACATAGATACACCCTTATTTAATTTTTGCACTCACAGAGTGTGTGCTGCTGGCCATCATGTCTTATGATCACTATGCGGCAATCTGCCATCCCCTCCGCTGTGCCCTCGTCATGAACTGGAGGCTGTGCCTCATCCTTGTTGCAGTTTCATGGGCATTTGGGTTTGTATTTAGACACTACAATCCTCTCTGGCTTTACACCTGCCTTCCTGTGGCCTCTGTGAGATTGACCGCTTCTTCTGTGAAATCCTTGCTGTCTTAAAGCTGGCCTGCACTGACACTACAGCCAATAAAGTCCTGATCTTTGCTCTTTGTGTGTGCTTCCTCCTCTTCCCTTTAGTATTAATTCTAATCTCCTACCTGCAGATCCTGGCCACAGTTCTGCACATTCACTCTGTACCAGGATGGCACAAAACGTTATCCACCTGTGGCTCGCATGTGATCAAGGTGGGTCTCTTTTATGGAAATTCCATCTTCATACACATGGGACCCAGGAGTGGTAACTCAGCTGGGAGTGAGAAAATTCTTTCCCTTTTCTACAGTCTCATCAGTCCCAGTTTGAACCCTCTGATTTACAGTCTGAGGAACAAGCAGGTGAAGGAAGCCTTGCTGAAGCTTCAGAGAAGGAAAAGAGTTTTTCATTCCATGTAGTTTAGGCTCTAGACTTTCACTTGTCTCCTGTCTTTCATCTTTTTTTTTCTTGAGCTCTTCGGGTGCTTCGCACTGAATTTTAAGTGGTTAAAATGTAACACAAATGGTTATTCAAATGCATTTGTCTCTGTTTCTCTGTACAGTCTAATGAATATTATAACACAAAATGACTAATTATTATTCCTTTTATTAGAGATAAATAATCATACTTTCTCACATGCATCCATTCTAGGCAGGTAGTATTTATTAACAGAACTACAAACCCAGCTGGAGAAAGTAATTCGTCTTGGTTCTAACTAAAAGTCAGAATAAACTACTGTGTAGCAGTTTTTTTTCTAAGTATATCAGGTGATCTAATAAGATATTATTTCTCCCTCCTGTATTTGTATTTCCTGTATCATTAGGATGCTAGAGCTTCAACTTTATTATTAGAAAGAAAAAGAGAGAAAACATGATGATAATGGGGCTTTGCTTCTCAGGAGGGTGAACGAGCCTGTGAAAGTTTCTGCACGCTTTTGAGCCTGACACCTTTCCTGTAGAAAGTGGACATGACAACACTGACAGTGCAGGAACCGCCTTTGTGTGGTTTTGCCACCCACAGCAGCTCCTCAGCCTGAGTTAACTGAGATATCCGCACTTTGCAACGTAGATCTTGCACTGACTCTGACTTAGGGTGTAGACTCTTGGCACCTTACCATTTACCCACTTTACAACTATCTGTCTTCTGACAGCTATAATTGTTGACAGTTATGCTTTTGAAAAGCTTCCCTGGTCTCTGTGTGGATACATCTAACTAGAAGTCTAATGGTTAAAAAGTGCCACGTATTATCATAGAATCATGGAATAGTTTGAATCTTTTAACTAAAGACTTTTAACTAAAAGTCTCTTTTAGGACCTTCAAGATGACCTTGTTCCAACCCATCTGCCATGGGCAGGGATGCTTCCCATTAGACCAGGTTGCTCAAAGTCCCACCTGACCCGGCCTTGAACACTTCCAGGGGACCTCTACCACCTCTCAGGGCAACATTTCACCATCCTCATAGTAAAGAAGTTCTTCCTAACAACAAATTTAAATCTACCCTGCTCTAGTTTAAAACCATTACCCATGATCCTATCACTGCACCCTCTGATAAATAGTCCCTCCCCAGCTTTCCTGTAGGCCCTCTTTAAGCACTGGAAGGCCTCTCTAAGGTCTCCCCAGAGCCTTCTCTTCTCTAGGCTGAACAACCTCAACTCTCTCAGCCTGTCCCTGTAGGAAAGGTGCTCCAGCCCCTTGATCTTTCTTGTGGCCCTCTTTTGGACCTGCTCCAACACATTCATGTCCTTCTTGTGTTGGTGGCTCCAGAGCTGGACACAGGACTGTAGGTGGGGTCTCACAGGATCAGAATAGAGGGGCAGAATGACCTCCCTTTACCTGCTGGTCATGCTTCTCTTGATGCAGCCCAGGATATAGTTTGCTTTCATAGTCTACCTATCTATCAGCTTTCATGAAATTAATTGCTTGCAGTATCTTTCCTTCTCGGAAATAAGGCTGCTAACTGGGATGAGGTTTTCAAAATAACAGACTACATTCAACACACAGTTCCTCTGGATCTTTCTACTTGGTGTAAGTTTAAAGGAGAAGAAAAAAGTCTCCCTCTCCTCATCTTAAATAAGTCTTTGAAGGCTATTTCTTGACTTATATGTTCATTCAGAAGGCATCTGCTGTTGAAAACTTCCTGTGAAATATGTAACATTTGAGATAGGTGTCCTCTTTCAAAAGAAATGAGAAAGGTGTCTGTGTTCCCTTATGTGAACACACTAAACGTCAAAAAACACTTAGCCACTTACCATCTAGTTTGAACACTTGTTCATCTACTAGAAGAAACTATTTCTGATCTTCTAATCCTGCGCATTGATAAACCAGATAAAATTGTCCATTCCTTTTTGAATCCCACAGAACTTTAGCTTTTTCTACTGAACATGAGAACAGCAGAACCAGAAAGAGCACCTGAAAATCAAAATACAACATTCATTGTAGATGTTTCTGGAACACTGAGATGATTGAGGAGCTAAATTCCCTTATCCAAGGAACCCATGCCATTAACAAAAATATGAAGAAAAGTTGGGAAAAAATAAATATCCCTTCCCTAAAGTGGATAATTTCTGATTTCAGCACAAAAAGCATGATCATGAGCAAGGTCCCTAAAACATTTGGATAACTGGGCCTGGTAAGAGAGCTGTATGGCATTTACTATTACTACTTATTCCCATGTTGACTTTCAGTTCAGAGCCAGAGATAATTCCTGCACACACTGTCTCTTCAGGCTCCCTCTCCGGCTCAGGCACCATGCAAACCTTCTCCACTCCGGACGTGTGCTTCCTGCCTGGTTCCACACATCTCTGTGGACAGGACAGACACCATTTTGGCCGAGCCCCTGGGAAGACGGGCTCAGGCTCAAGCCCTCCCCAGCGCAGGCTCTGGCACTTTGTTCACCTGGGCAGCAGGATCATAGGCTCTCCTTGGGTGTTGGGGCCAACAGGAAAGGACTTTCTCTGTGACCTCACCTCCTCACTTCTGACATCACCCCCACCGGCTCTGCCTGTTGCAGGTGAGCTCATGGAGCAGCTCTGACACCCAGTTCTGCTCCTATTTTCCACGGCAGAGGCTTTTCCAGTGCTTTGCACTCTCTTCTCCCCTATAAGAATAAGTCACTATAGGAATAAGTATAAGCAAGAGCCTTTCTGCATACCAGTCCCTGGTAGGAACTATAAAAATCAGCTGTTATCACTTCTGGCAGCAGGCACTGTCTGCAAAAACACGTTGTTGACTTCAGAAAGCGCAGCCTCTTAGAAGACGCTGAGCTGAAAAGCAAAATCCCTGAACTGAATTGGTTCTGTTTAGCTCAAAACAGAACACCTTGGTTGGTTAGTTTAACCTCAGGGCAGCAGTCTACATGTGCCCGCAGCCGTAGCAGTTGGCATAAGACTATTTCAAGCACAAATGAAGCCCCAAAGAATCACTCTTAGAAGAGGCAGCATTGCTCCGGGGCTGAGAGTTCACCACATCTGCAACCTGATGAGGCAGCAGACAGAAGGGTTTCTTAGCACCCTCCCCAATTAGTATCACAGAATTCTTCCCTATTTCTTCCTGAAAGTCAGATTTCCCCATTTCTCCACCACACAGATTCTGATGGATTTGGTGTTCTGCTTCATGTACTTTTGTACTCTCAACGGCAATATCCATACAGTGGTGATTGTAAGGGTTGATTGTTCTCTTCATTTCTTCATGTACATCCCCTCTGCTCTCTCCTCAGAGACACAGTATACTTGGTCAGTGTCCCCAGCATGCTAGCAAGTTTGGTAAGAAAGAAAAATGTCCTTTCCTTCATGGGACATGTTATCGATATGTGTTTTTCTCCTTGTCTTTTGATGCAATCAAATGGGATGCCATCAATGGGATATGATTGGTACATCTCAGTCTGTAAGCCCTTGCAATTACCGTGCCATCATAAGCCAGAGCTTCTATGTTCTGCTGGCAACTTTTTCAGCATGGATTGGACTTCTGTTCTCAGTAGCAGGGATAGGCATTACTTATCTTTCTACAAGTATAATAAAACTAGCCAATTCTTTTCTGATGGGGCACCACTTCTTAAGCTTGTGTGTGCCAGAAACTGTCAAGATGAAATGGTCTTTTTAATAATTTGTGATTTGGCTGCATGTTGTTCCTTCTGTTTGAGTCTACTCTCTTCCCTTCAAATACTCAAAAAGCATCCTGAAGACCCCTTCCACTAAGAGAAGGTGTAAACCCTTCACCATTTGTGCATTCCACTTCCCTGTAGTTATTATGCACTTTGGATGTGTCTCCATCATGTACTTGCAGCTCAAATCCAGGGCACATCCTGAATGAAGATGTTCTGATTTCCAGAACTTGCACAGTGGTAACTTTGCTACTGAAACCATTGGTGTTCAGCCTGTGGAACAAAGATCTGGAAGTAGCTCTCACAAAAACCTTTCTTTCCTTGTCCACGTCTACAGTCTCATATACCAAGTACCAAAGCACAGGAACAAGATACACAGAGCCTCCAACCCTAATAGACACTGCATATTTCCCTTTGCACAGCCGGCTGTCTTTGTGGCTCATGGAGAAGGCCAGCCCAGCCCTGGAGGAGGAGCTCATTCTGATCTTCACTTCTTCCTCTTCCAAACAGCCTGTTTTATGTCCTGTCTCTTTCTAAAGCATTTTACAGGATAGTACTCTGTAATCACACTTTCTTTAGCTTGTGCTGATGTTTCTTTGTGTTTTTTTTTTCTTTCCTGAGATTATTTTCTGATATTACTAATTTGCTTAATTGTTTTTTCTTTTCAGAGGGTAGCTCTTATGTACCTGTGAATTGCTTTCTTTGCTTACTTTTGTCCCAGCCTTGTAAAAAAAGTGTAAGCAACTCTTAGGCACTGGAGACTTCTTTTATGATTGAGTCTGTCTTTGAATAAGGGAATAAAATTCCCTTTTGATGAGGTGGATAGGAACCGGTGGGAAGCTGTAGTCTTTATTATTTGAGCACAGGAGGCTGTTCACCCTTTTATTGCGTCATTGGAATTGACAGCCCCCTCAGCTGTTTACTTCTCTGATTCACGTGATTCGGGGAAGTAAAATTCTCCTATAGGTTTACTAAGAATGTTACTTAAAAACCCACACTATTCTTGTATAACACAGTTCTTGATGTAAAGAGAGCTGAAGAGGAAAACAAGAGATACAAATTCAATGGACAGCTGTGGGAGTTTGTATGCATGGATCCCATAAGTCCTGGTTGTTGGTGGTGGAGAAAAATCTACCAGAGAACAGCAATACAAGGAGAAGGAGAGTATGTGCTGAGAACTACTATGTCAAAAACCCCCAAGGACAAATAAAGTCTGGATCCCAGGAGTTCTGCTGGAGCTGCAAGACCTGTTCTGGTCACCCCGGAATACCAACAACTTGCCAAATCTATACCACCAGCATACACCAACACCTACGACAT